CATCAAGTACTGTATCTGCCCTTGGTGGTGGGAGGCATCACACACCCCCAAGTCAGAGCTGGGGGTGAAGCTCTAGCTAAGGCTGAGCAACAGGCCAAGGTGGCAATGACAGGATTGGAGCTGGCTCAGGCTTTAATTCCAGAGTCTGGGGCTGGGGCTGAAGACGTGAAAGGAGGGATGGCCCTCAGCTCTATAAAGACTCACCATGGGTGACAGGAGAGGCATTCAGCCTCTGCTGAAGAAAACTGCAGGGAATAGTTAAGTTCAATCAGCTCCAAGCCTTGGCCTCATAGGTTTCCCTAAGGAGACCCCTCCCTTGAAACCCCACTCCCAAACCCTGCCGCCACTGCTCTCCTAGGTGCAGGGCCTCAATGGCTCCTTCCTGTAGTTTGAGGAGGAAGTAGGTATGTGTCGCAAGTCAGAGCCCAGGAAACCTGGGACACACCCTGGGTGCTTGGCACTGCCAAGTCCTCTTTCTTTTGGACTTGTGCACCTAGCCCAGTACCCATTTAACCCTTTGCACCCCTGCTCCAGGAGTTGATAACTTCCTGTAAAGGCCTAATCCCTGGAGAGCCTCTCTCCATTCTGAAGGCTCACTTACTACTAAGCTGCCTTCTCAAGCCTCACTTTATACCTCTATTGCTGTTGGTAGGATTAAATTAGGTAATGGCTGTGAAGACCCTTTACCATTACTGCTACTGAATAGAGGTAAGAGGCAGGTCAGATGAAGGCTCGTTCTCTCTGCTCTTGTAAAGGTGTTGAGCTTCCAACCCAAACCACAACCACCCGTGACAGAACAATCTCCTCACACCTGCCCCAGGCCTCACCTCTCCTTTCGCCCAGGTAGCTGATGCGGACCTGGCATTGTCCCCAGACAGCGCTTACTGCAGGATAGAGGGTCCTGCCCTTCAGTCCGTGGAAGGCTGGCCCCAGGTAGGTGCCCCCAATAGCGTAGCCCAGAGTTCCCTCCTCCATGTCCAGAACCACCAGAAGCCTCTCCGGTACCTCCAGCTGCTCACCCTGAGGTCCGGCTGGATATTGGGGGGCACCGGGCCCCTTGCTCTGATGGTACAGCTTCCCCCGCCCAATGTCCCAGCCCCATGACTCGCTGTTGCTGCCCAGCAGCGCCGCGTAGTGGTCAGCCTGCAGCGGGGCGAGGGCTGTGGCTACGCCCACCACAGCGTGGGTGCCTCTCTGCTCCGGGGGCCAGCTGATCTCCCAGGCGTGCAGGCCCCGAGAGTAGCCCCTCTTACCCCGGGCCCCATCAGTGCTCTGGGCCACAGGCCGCCGCTCAAAGCACAACCCCCCTTCCTTGACCTCGATGTTCTCTGAGCAGTCCTTGGGGTTCCACCCGTGGCGCCGTTGGGCCCCCAGATCAGGAGCGGGAGCAGACAGCAGCTCCTCCAAGCCTTCGGGACAAGAGAGGTCAGGGTACAGGGCCTGTGGGGTAGGGGTGCTACTGCTGCCCCCTGCCAGGGCCGTCTGGCCCATGGAAGTGAGGAGCCAGAAGTCTCCCCGAAAGAGTCTTGCTGGGGCGTCTCTCTTCTGCAAGTTACGTTCCCGTTCAGGATTGACCTGGACAGCAGTTGGGAGAGAAAAGGGTGTGAAGTGCGGGATCCTGGCTGGGGGTCCTTACACAGGCCCTCCATCCTTCCACACGTTTGCCCACTGCCCCGCTCCTCCTTCGCTCCCCCAAAGCTCCTCGGTCCATCACCTTGCCCTCACCCATCTGTCCCGGTCTCCCGAGATGCTCGCGAGTTCGCTCCCTTCGGGCCTCTCCAGGGATCGTCCCTCTCGCCCGCCCCGTGCCCGCGTCACCGCTCCCGAACCTCGCTTGGCTCCCCAGGCTGGGAGGTTGCTGGGCCTCAAGAGAAGACCCGCCGAAAGTCGCCGAGGCGCGCCGGGGCAGCCCGCAGACCGCCGGCCGCTTCCGCCTCCAGCACCTCCCCCAGGCCGCGCCCCGCCCCGAGGCCCCGCCCCCCGGGGGCCCTCCCGGGCGGTTAACCCTCTCGTCGCCGCCCCAGATCGCGCCTCGCCCCGAGGCTAAGCCCCCGTGGGGGGCCCCTCGGGGGCGGTTAATACTCCACTTAGGTCGCTGCTGCGGAGGACACGCCCCTCCCCGACGCCGCGAGGAGGCCCCCTGGGCAGTTAACCCTTCTCTTGCATCGCTTTGGGATCCCTGGAGATCTGTTCACCGTCAAGACCTTTGAGCCGCTGGGCAACCAACTTTCGAGCCCTAGGAGATGAAGGGCATGGGTGGGTTTGGGGGTGTCTTTCACTGTGCTGACCTTTATGTCCATGGTCCTGTGATTCTGGGTCACTCTCTGACCCGCTTGTGAGTCAGCCCGTTCTTTGCCTGAGGTTCTGAACCCTGTGTTTCCGGCTCTGAGCTGTAGGTGTCATAGGTCTCCATGCTGTTCTAGTCTTCATCCTGGATGTCAATCCATTCCTCATCTGTTGGTCTCGTTTGGGAGAATGTAGTGGTTAAGACCTTGGTCGTGAATGAAGCTATGCCACTAATTAGGGGTTACTGGAAGGGGTTGCCAACTTCTCTAAACCTGTTTTCTCTTGTGTAAAATGGGAATAATGGCGGTACTGACCCCACGGTGTTGTTGTAGAGTAGAAATAATCCAGGTAAAGCACTTAGTATGGAGCCAGGTACTTGTATGCACTCACTGAGCATAGCTATTATTGTTTACTTAACATTTACTCAGTGCTCACTCCATCGAGAGGCAATATACTATAGTAGTGAAAGATGTATACTGTGGAGTCAGGCTAACTGGGTGCGAATACCTGAAGGCCAGCATGCATGTGACCATGGGCAAATTTCTTAACCTCCCTGGTGCTGTTTCTTCTGTAAAATAGAGATGCTATTGGTATTGTGGGGCATAAAAGGGGCCACATACTAAACCTAACAAACTCAGGGGAGGCTGCATGGCAGGCCCTACAACTCAGAGACTGAAATTAACCACATAGGATGATCTGAACATAAAAATGCCTAACTAAAAGCAGGTCGTAGTGGGTAGTCACATCCTGGGCCTGTAACTTTCTTGACAAAGGTCAATCTTTACCTTAAGAAAACCTCTTTATTGTCTTTTTGCAGCTAACATAACATACCCTGGAAAGTCAGAGTAGTCCCTTTCTTCCAGACCCCTCAGGGTGCAGCCCACTGCACCAGAGCAGGAGACCACAGAACCTCTCCTGGTTATGTTGGCTGTCCCCCCAACATCTCTATGTGCTGTAAAGGATACTTATTGACTCTCCTGTACCCATCAATGTAAAAGAAGCATATGTCCCTCTGTTTTACTTTTTATCCAACCCCAGAGATTTCTCCACTTTGCTTTCTCTCACTCCCTTAACCTACCACCAGTGCTTTCACGTCACCCTCCTTACATCTCTTCCTTTGATTCCAGTGTATAAAATAAGCTACAAAACAGCCATTCTCCAGAGCATTTTCTTAATCCATTGAGATTTTGCTTCCCGGAAATTGTCATTGGTTCGGCTCAAACTCATTAAAATTCCCTTCAGGTTTGGACGTTTCTTATGTCAACAGTATCTACTGCATAGGGTCTTGTGACGATTCAGTGTATATGTAAAGCTCCATTTCTGGTTTAAATGCAATCATTTGTGCGAAGCACTGTAGATTAAGCAGTGAATCCTTAAGGAGGTTACAAGGACATTTATAAAAACAGTTTATCATGTAGCAGATGAAATTATAGAGATATAAAGAAAGTATATGGGTGTAAAAAGGATGGGACTCCTAACCATGGATCAAGCAGTTAGGAAAAGAAAGTGTCCTGGAGGAGATGACACTGGACTGAATCTTAAAGAATGACTAGGAATTGGCCTGAGAGGTGATTCTATAGAATGGGGGTGGGGTTAGGGTTGGTGCATGCAGAAAGCATTCGTTTCAGACAGAGCTGGCATGAAAAAAGCCAGAAGTGATAGTTGGGTTTGGGGAAGTTGGAAGACTTCAGGGTTGCTGCAGCAAGAAAGGAAGCATGGAAACAGGCCTAGAGAAGTTGGTGCCAGACTATGGAAGCCTTGTAGGCCAAGTTAAAGAATGCAAGTATTAGCCTCTGGATAGGTCAGTAATGGGAAACCCCACAGGAAAGAAGCAGGAGAGGAACATGGTCAGATACTCATTTTAGAAAAACCACTGTGGCAGCAATGCTGAGGAAGATTCAAGGAAAACGGGACATGAAGCACCATGGCTGGTTCCAGCAGCTCAGGTGACAAGTGCCAAGAACTTGAAATAGGGCACTAGAAATAAGGATGAAAATTCAAGAAACATTGTTGGAATTGCAAGATTTGGTGAGTGATTAGTTGCTAAGGCCAGAGAAATGAAAGAGAGAAAGGGAGGTTTCCAGCCTGGAAGACTTTGTTGGAAGGTGGTGTCACTAATGCAGATGGAGGTGACAGGAAGAGGAGCAGTTGGGGGCAGGGGCAGGAGGGTGGGAGAGAGAGATGGTGGGTTCAGCTTAGGACATGTTTTTGAGGTACCTGAGCAACAGCCATATGGAACCATCCAGAACACACTTGAAAATGGCAGATCTGGAGGGGGAATGAGAAGCTAGAGATATAAATTTGGGAGGTAAGTCAGCCTTTATTCAGGAGCTGAACTATAGGAATCAGTGAGGGGGACTCAGAGATCTCTGAGTGTATAGAATGGGAAGAGGGTCAAGGAGGATACAGCGCAGCAGAAAATTCAAGTTTGATTGCTTACAAGATGTTTTTGGTCATTGGCTGCTTTGGTGAGATAGCACATGTGGGTTGTGGGAGGTGGGATACTAGGCTGAAGGGGCTGAACTGGCATTTTATGTTTGTCAGGCACTGGGCTACAAGCTTCACATTTTGAGGGGACAGAGAGTTGGGAGATATGAGGCGACAGTTATGTGCTGTAGTCAAAATTACCCTTGAAAATCCCTACCCCATCAATTAGGTACCACATGTTAATTTGTAGGAATACAAAATGTGGCAGTATACATACAATGATGTACAGGATAAATTTTTGTAATATTTTAATTAAAGAGAAAGGAGAGTCTACGGCCATGCCACCCTCAACGTGCCCGATCTTGTCTGATCTCAGAAGCTAAGCAGGGTCGGGCCTGGTTAGTACTTGGATGGGAGACCACTTAGGAATACCAGGTGCTGTAGGAGTTAAAAGAGAGAAAGAGAGAGAGAGAGAGAGAGAAAGGAGAAAGCATATTAAAAAGAAAGATGTGACCCTGAACATTTGTCATCCACTCAACCTGGATATTCTTGCCAGTGTGACAACAAAAATAATGACTGTGAATAGTGGCCTGTGATGAATAATAGCGTAGGACCTGTGTGATAATCAAGTGGATGAAGGCTTAGGGGACAGAGAGTGAGCCTAAGCCATGGCTGACTCTAGTTCAACTTGAGAAGTTGACCACACCTGCGCAGCTGCTGATTGTTTAAAACGTGGTATTCACCAGTTGTTGCCACTAGATCTTGAATTGCTCAAACATTTGTTGTTAATAGCTCAAATATTCCATGAGGCTACAAGTAATTTTAACTTTTTACTTTTTTATTGATATGTAAAATATATAAAGTACACTAATATTAAACTGCTCAATGAGTTTTTACATATTTATATGCTGTGTGACCACTGGTATCAGCATTCCAGAAGGCTCCTTCTTGCCTTTTTTCTAACACTATACCCCTAAAGGCAACTACTATTTGAACTCTATCAGTCTAGATTATCTTTGGCTTTTCTTTATTTTCATATAAATGAAACCATATAGTATGTATTCTTTTGTGTCTAATTTATTTTTCTCAACATTGAGTCATCCATGTTGTTACATGAAATAGTAACTCATTATTTTAATTTTTTTTACAGTATTCCATTGTGTGGATATATTGTAGTGTATCTACTCTACTATTGATGGGCATTTGAGTTGTTTCCAGTTTTTAGCTATTATAGAGAAAGCTACTACGTACAGTATTGTACAAATCTTTTGGTGGACCAAGGCACTCATTTTTATTGGGTGCATACTTATGTGCACAATTGCTGGATTATAAAAATTTGCCATGTATAGATTTAACCACATGTAATATTCAGGTTTCTCTCCATGGAACACTTTTATTCAAAAATTAAATCATTCAGGTATTTGGCAGCATGGAACACTTCAACATATCCATAAAGATTTGAACTGGTTTTCTCTTCCTTTTCATAATATCTTTGTCTTCTGGGGATCTTATCAGTTCCCCAAGCTTTTTATTAGTGTTTCTTGGTGGCTCTCAAGAAGCTCTTCAATTTTTTTCCAAAGCCACCATGATCCACTTGCTAGGCCACTTAAACAATGAGTTTCACTTCTTTGTCAATAGAAAACCCTTGAAAATCCTAAACACATTCTCCTCAACAAGCATGGACTGTTTTAGGCTTGATTGTTTCCATACCTGTTTAATATAAATAATGCAACTGGCAATACTGAAGAACTTCCAACTCTTCCAGCTCATTACCACATTAATATTAGGGTCAGCATTTATAGCTCTGGGAGTCAGGGAGGAATCTCAGCCTTATGTATATGGCTTTGAAACAGCAAATCATGCTTAAATCAGCAGAGTGAAGGACCAGGGTGATGTTGAGGGAAGGAAGACTTCTTTGTCTTTATGAGCACACACACTCATAAAGTACGTGGTATCTTAGCATGGTACCGCTGTCTGTGATCAGCAACACTAAAGCCAAAGCCTTTCTCTTTGAGGTCCTACTGGACTTCTAGAATGGAGAACTGTAAAACCATACCCAAGACTTTGCATTTGATGACTAGAGTATAAGCAGATTTTTCCCCCCACAGCACTAGGATCTGTGTCCTCATAGAACAAGTCTGACTTTATTAAAAGCTATGCTACTATCATGAGAGAGAGAGAGAGAGAGAGAGAGAGAGAGAGAGAGAGAGTCA